CAGAAGAAAACTCCCCCACACCCCTTGCACCCCTCCTAGCCCCTCTCATGGATGCAGTATACTTACCACTAGATAGCGGGCGCGGAAAGAAGAACTCAACGGGCGCACTCTGCGTTGTTCGGGGGGGAAGGTGTAGGATGGGGGAGGGGGGCAGTGTGCACTTTGCCGAGAAAAATTTTCCGGCTGTTTTTCCCGTTTCACGCGCACCATAAATCCTCAAATTCACACCGAAGCACTTCAGTGGTAGGCGAATGTGCTGAGATCGTAGCTAGTAACTCGTAAAGGGAAGAACGTAACGTTCCTTCTCTTGGGAGCCGTACTGAGACCACTATTTCGCATCTCCCGATGATGTACTATGGTTGCGCACATATCCCTGTTCATATCCCTGATACTCTCATGCTATTATGGGCCGCTAGACGACGATTAATGAAACAAGCGCACTTCTTATAACCAAAAGAGCTTACCTTGCCTTTCATTTGTTGTTCCCAACCTTCTAGGTTATTCTGGTTACGAGGGAAACCATCCACAAGGAATCCTCTGGCATCTCCTGCAGCATCCATAGCCTGAATCATTGCACTAATAGCCTATACTAACAAGGTCTCTCGAGATTGAAATTCTGTTCAGCGGGGTCTAGTATAGCGGGGCATCTTTGCATGGAGTGATCAAGACACTGGAACTCCTCTAGGCATCTTTCTTTGACTGTAAGCGACCATAAAAAGTTTTTATCTAATCCTGGAAAGGAATTAGTTAATATCGTCGCAATCAAATATGGCGGTGTCGAGAAGCGTGGAAAAATCCTCCCCCGCTGCGTTCTCTGCCAATAGCGATCGGTTAAGGAAAGAAACAAGTATGTCAACATGTAGCTCTAAGATGAGTATCGTTCCATAACTCTCGGGCTTTTATCCCGAGAATTATTGTTGGGCAAAAACCTCACGCACTTCCTACATAGTCTCCTCCTCGCTGGAAGGTGCGAATATCCGCAGCGCGTTCCTACTCCTTCCGCGCTATCTCCAATGCCCACCGTCTCCTTTTATACAAATTCGAAACACGCCCCCTAGCGTAGAGAACGACCAGAAGTGAGAGGATGGACTAGTAGCGCGTTTGGCTATGCTTAGGCATAAGGTTGGTCGCGCGAGAGTGCCGGCGGAGTATGTAGACGACACTAAGCTACCACTACTCTCCCGCCCATTCCTGTGCACTTCTAACTGACAATGAGGAAAAAGAAACGCATATATGCCTCCAGGGACCCAATCAGCTGCACCATGGGAAGAACTGCAGCGTCGCGAAGGAGTGAAGAGCAGAGTTCCTTCGCCACGGGTTGGGCGATCCATGCGAATGGTGAGGGGGGTGCGCATTTCCCCTGAGAAAAAGGTTCTTGATTCTTGACTAGCTTTCTTAAGGATTCTCTTCACGTGTGGCTATTCCATTCCTTCCACCCTTCCGCTAGACGACAGCTCTGCTGGAAGGAAGTGAAGAATTTTTCAAAAAGAGACCTTGAAGTCGTAATCGTGGAGAACTCAAGATGGAGAATTAGTAGAAAATGGGTAGAGTTCTAACAGGGGAGGAATTCTCGAGGTGAGCCGTGTTTCGCCCCGAAACGGTAGGAGATGCCCGGGGTAGTCTTACAAGCACTCCGACGAATTAGTGGCGCCTTCGTTTCTTCACTTTTCTCAACTGCAGACTAAAGTACTCAGGCACTGTTTCGTGATCGACGCCACGAATTCCTGACTAGACTGCTGGTGGTCGCTTCGTGGAACCATCCTTGTCTCCCGTCCTGACTTTTGGTCTTTCTTTAGAAGGCAGAAATTGCATAAATCTTACATTTTCGAGCAGCTTGCAGGTGATTTCTACAGGTTACTGCGTATTAAGTTCCATTCGTTATGTGGTGCTCGATCAATTGACCAAATTGGGAGCCCACTCGTTGTCGTTCGGCACGTAGTAAATCGCCTGCTGACAAGTGCATAAAGCCAAGGTTCTAGAACACCAACATTTTAATAATACGATTTCTTCAGTAACGGATAATTTGGTGGCGCACTTCATGGATTTTGATACACTGAGTTCCTTTTCCTGAACCGGGTGGTCCCAACACGAAAACAACGTTGTAAAGCTTCTGAGCAGGAGCCATCACTGCCAAGTGTGAAATCTCTGTAAAAGTATCAGTCAGAATGAATCTTCATTTCGAGCCCATGAGACAGCCTTTTTCTCGGAGTTACCGTATTTGCGTGTCCTGTGGGGGGGGGGGGGTGGGGGGGGTGGCACACGGCACGCCACTCTTCTGCTCTGCCCCTCTTTCCTCGCCGAAATGGTGTTTGGAACAAACCGTAGAGGATTTCCAACATATTTCGACCATTTTGGCTTTTGCTGCTGAACTTCTACCTGTTAGTTCTTTTAGGGCGCTAATAGAGTAACGAGGGGGCTTTTAGGTTCTGTTAGGTGCTTTCTCGCATATTACAGCGTTAACTGCGCAGCCCTTATTAGATTTATCACGCTTATGATGGTGGTTGAATTTCCCTGATATTTACAAGTTAACCTTCGAAAAAACCCCTTCGTAGCCAACTATAAGCGTGTCAATCTTCGGCGAGGGGGGAGCAGAACGAGCGCGTGCGTTTGGTAACCAGTGCCCCCAAATACGCGAAATAACTGTTTCTCACAACTTAGACTACTCATGATTACAAATAAAGAAAAATCTATTTCGTAAATTAGTATCTACGAACACAGATCAATAAACAAGAGTAGAAATTATAAAATTATCTTCCACCGTTAACTACAAAATGGCTCTCTAGTCCGAATCGATAAAAAACGCAGACAAGCGACGCAAAGCGGAGAAGTAGAAATTCCGGATTCGCCGGGAAATCCTGGCGGTTTTTTTTGCATAGGGTCAAAAACGGGCACACTTCACCAATGCTGGGACTCGGATGGCTAGAGGAACTGACAGGGACGAACGCATGTGGTAATAAACGGCAATGGTTGGTCTATACAGCGCTGGCACTTTTTTTCAGACTGTATTCACTTTAAAAATAGAAAAAGACCAATCAGTGGAATGAAACGCCCTGGTACTATGAGCAATTCATCTACCGTGAGCAATTCATCTACGACTCCTAAAATGAAATATTTCGCTAAACTTGGATTTTTTGGTCAATTATCCTTCAATACAGAACAGGAGGAAGTGGAACATTACACGTTGTAACGAATGCAAACTGACTCGACCCTATGATGACACCGGGAAGGTTGAGAGTGAGAGAGTGTAGGGCAGACGTGGATGGGCGGAGCTCTAGGGTGAACGTGAGGTCGCCAAAAGAGCAACTCCCTCTGCAATAATTGCTACATTACTGCTTCGATTACCTTCCTAAAAGTGTATAACACGTCCTAATAGAACAATCAAAGAAAACGAATTAACATTCAGCTGTACAAATATGGAAGAAGGCCAACTTTCTCGAAAACAAACCAACACACCGCCATATGTACACATTCATTTGTTAACCAGTTTAGCACCCATAATCTCAGTTAAACATTTGCACATCACAGCTAATGCATGAATCCTATTCTTTAAAAGTGGAACAATCTTCGATGACACCAATTAAAGAAAGGTTCACAGCATGGCGGTTAATGGTGAGTAAAATCAAAAGCCATCGTCGGGCTCTTCTTTAGGTCGGCTATGGGAATTCAAGGCACCAGACTTCGAATTCGAAGCAGCCAAACTTTCTTCGATCTTCTGGATTTCCTCCACAGAGACCTGAATAAGGAACCAATCACTCCCATGTAAAAGTAGAATTATGCTAAGGTAAGTTTTTACTAGCTCGTTCAAATGGAAGGTTTATCTATTCAAAGCAAAAAAAAGATGTGATAAATTAGAAAAAAACAACATAAGGAGTTAATTTTCAAGAGTCGAGTTGTCATAATGAAGACTTGCGATTCATGGGATTTCGAGAACAAGTTCGCCGCATTTATGCGATGGGAGGGAGGGGGGGGGGCATCTGCACTTTTGCTGCGTCATATTGTGTGTGCTCTACAAGAGTTGACAGACAGCTCCTCTTCACAAGAGTTGTCGGCACTATTGAACTATTCCTACCCCAGAACCTCGAAAAAAAATTTTTTCGCTGAAACGTTGCCTAAGGTGTAATTCACGAATATCACATTCGTTTGAGCGCTGGCGTCATTTGGCGCCATTATGCGCCAATTTGGCGCTACCACTTTTTCACCAAAGTCGATGAAAACTTGCATATGGGGTTAATTGAGGTCCTGATTACGAATCCAACATTTATTTTTGGCGCCGGCGCCAATTTGGCGCCATATTAACGCATAATGTTGCCAGAAGCGCCAATTATTGGCCGCCATAATTAATCAGGACCTCAATTAACCCCCATATGCAAGTTTTCATCGACTTTGGTGAAAAAAGTGGTGGGCGCCAAATTGGCGCATAATGGCGCCAAATGACGCCAGCGCTCGAAACGGATGTGATATTCGTGATCAGCGCATCGAATTACATCTATAGGCAACGTTTCAGCGAAAAAAATTTTTGAGTTTTTTGGGAGAGTTCATTAGTGCCGAGTTGTCAAGTATTTTCTGAAAACATTGACTGGTATCACTTAGCTTCACAAGATTTCACAGATCCTTACTTGGCATGGTACGACAATGAGAACCAGCCAAAGTGCAAAAAGCACCCACCCACCGCCAAACTGCTCTAGGTTGTTTCAAAATCATTAACTTTTCCCCCACAACGACGATCGCAAACACTTTCCTGTCAGCTTCTATGGACATAAGCTCCATTACCACAAAGCTGTGGTTGAAGCTTAAAAGTTGCACGGAAATACCTGCGAACGCACCTTGTCGCATCCCAGAGAGCTTACCCAAATGTAAGGAGTGGTAGTCTCTACACCACCAGTTAAAACAAACTTCTCAACGACGAGAAATGTCCCATATCTTCCCCTCCCCTAACGAGTGAGACAAACAAGCAACTATGCAGAACATGTTCTCTCTGTAACTGGACAGAAGCACAGAGGAAATCATGATGGAAGGGATAAAGTAGCAGGGATGGCCGCTTCACACCGACCTATGAGTTTTCAGAACTAAAGTAAGCATTATGGCAAAGAAACAATGGAATCAAGACTATGCAGGACAAAACACTGTCTAAACCGAATGTGCATTCGGACTTTTTCATGATAATGAAGACACTAAGCAACGATCTCATGTCTTATCTTATCGCAAGGATTTTTTGCACTTGATCGGAACAAGGCATGACGACTAAGTTTCGTATGCCAAAAACGTTACGAGTCCCTTCCCATTTCCGTGGTTAAGCAATATGTATGGTGGTCCAGAAACTGTACGTTATATGCGTGAAACAACAACTAGCATACAAAACATCACGTGTACAAAAACACTGAAGCCTTGATGACTAACCCATTCCCTTGACCTTACTGTTTTCATGATGACAAAAAGCATTGCTATTGTTTTCAGACAATCGTTAACTGTTGGATACACATTTTGGCGCTGTTCGACTTTTGGCATGGGGAGGGAGCTGCACTTTCACTAGTCCCTTTTGTCAGTTCCTGTCAACTTATCT